GGGAGCTACGAGAGAGCTCTCCGTGCCTCCTGGAGCTGCTCACCGTGTTCAGGTCTGGTGTAGCCCCAGCCGGAGATCCAGCAGTGGGTGCCGTGGGGGAAATCCTGCTGGTACAGCGGTAAACACACTGCACGGACGGCATCTGGGGAGAGAGACACGTGTTAGAGCAGCGCCAGCTGGGGACGCCCCTCCCAGTGCACAGCACAAACAAATCGAGAGCGGCTCCCAGGAGCAGATGGCCTGGAGCAAGCAGGGGTGATCTAGTCCTGAGAAGTGCAAGTGAAATACCCTTGCAGCTCTGCTCCCTCTGGCTCCAGGGGCCGGATTCTCCAAAGAGCTCGGCTCCCACTGTGACCTTTACAGCCAGATCCCAGCTCTTTACAAAATCTGCCCACTTAATTCACTGCATCCATGGGAGACAAGGTCTTGCGAGCGTTCTAGCCCATGTGCCATCAGAAGAGGCCCCGGGACTTGCCTGGGGAATGTTTTCTCTCTGCTGCCCCTTCCCTCCACAGCTGGACCAACCCCCATACTGGCACTGCCCCTGGGATCGACACAGGCCACCGGCGTGGGAATCAGACCGTTGGTGGGTGGTTCCCTTGCGAATGGAAGCCATGGGGCTGCTCTGGGGGGATCCTCTGTCCCCTCCAAGGGGGAGACGGCTGAAGAGAAGGGTCTCACCGGAGGAGTTCAAGAGCGCTGTGAGTTTCATCAGTGCGATGTCATAGTCATGACTCCTGTCGTCATAGCGGGGGTGGTAGACCTCAGGCTGCCTGTAACTGAGCAGAGACATGGCCAACCTGTTCCTCTGGGGCTGCAGTATTGCTGGGGCGGCCAATTCCCCCCTCCCTCCCCTGCTGGGGGAACAGCCGGGCTCTGCGCTAGACCCCCCGCTAAGGCCTCCGGCTCTGCCGTTCCCAGACTCACTTGTGCACGCAGTGAGCAGCCGTGACGATCCAGTCGTGCGCCACCATGGAGCCTCCGCAGACGTGTCTGGAGTTGAGGTACAGGCTGACCTGCCACGGCCAGCGTCCCAATGGGGCATCGCTTCCGCCCACGATCCGGGCTGCCCTGGAGCGCACGCTGCACTCTGCAAAGGGGGAGACATGTGAACCCGGTGCCCCCAAACACCACCTGAGAGTGGGGGAGGGATGGGCAGCAAAGGGTGTCCAAGAAACCCGGCCCTCTCCAGGAGCTGAGCAGAGCTTTGCCTTGGGGCCCAAAGGAGAGAGGGAAGGTCTTTGAGCACCAAGCCTACGGGAGCAGAAGAACAAAGAGGCTTTCTCCATTTCTTTTGCCACCTGTGCTGTTCCCCATGTGAAATAACAGAGAAACCCACTCTAACCCCTTCTGTGTGCTCCGAGCTAGTCCCAGGACCTCTGCCTGCCCACCCAGTGACATAAATCGAGTCTGCTTCCCAAGCCAGCACCACTAAGCCAGAGTGGAGAGGGAGCAAGAGAGAACAGCGAGGAAGGCAGGAGTCCCATCTCTCCACCTGGGCCTTCTCTGGGCTTGCCGCTTGCCCGGCAATAGCCCTGGGCCTCAGGGGGGAGTTCCGCCCCACAGCTGCCTTCCCTGACAAGAAGGGGCTGCTGAGAGCATTAGGGTTTTAGATACTGCGGGGGGGCGGGGGCATTGATTGCATGTGCTGTTAATTACACAGTAGCTCCTATGCCATATGGACAGGGGGGATTTGGGAGCTGACTGTCATGTTGCTGCTGCCGCTGCAAACAGATCCCAGCGATATAATCACACGGACAAAGGGGCTGCTCCGGGGGCTTCAAAACCATATATATTTTTTTTTGCTACTCAGCTGGCTGGGAAGCTAAATTTTTCTCCCACTCAGACCAGCTGGTTTGTGCTGGCTTGTTACTGCAGGGTTGCTCAAGAGGGCTGGAGCTGCCTCACTGAGTAACGCTGCTGCTTGCAGACCACTGACACTGGGGCTGCTGGATGGGGGAAGAATGACACAGGCTTTGCGAAAGAACACCAGGGTTATGCTGAGGACAGGGCGCTCTGTGTCTAGCTGACCTGGGGCTTTTGCTAATTAACAGAGGATCTATAATAGCACAAGGAATGCAAGAGACCCCAGTGCAACGTGAGGACAGGATAAAGCACTTACCGGAGCACTTCAGAGCTGCTCCTGCACAAGAATAAAATCAGGGTTCGAAATAAAGCTCTCCCAGAACTCTGCAGCCAGGAAACACAGAGATGGCCCATCACAGGGTTCTATGGCAGCTCCCCTAGGAATGGTGACTGGCCAGATGCACCCAGGAGGCCCGGAAAGTGGATTCTGATAGGAATAATCATCGCGCCCACAGAAGGCTTTTCACCTTCCCAGCACTCTGCAAACATGAGCTGGTGCGGGGCAGAACGCTCACATGTGCAATGACCCTGGTTGTGTTGCTGCGACAGCAAAGCAGAGTTATTCTAAGAGGGCTAACGGGCCTGCCTGAAGGTCGGGAAGTCAGCTACCCTGTTGGCTCTGAGGGTATCTCTGCTCTGCAATCAGAGGTGTGATTGCAGCATGTGTAGACATACCCCAGTGCCTAGCTCAGGTACCATTAGCCGTGAAACACAGACTGTGCAAGCCCGTCTGGGACCCTCTTCTGGTTGGGCACAATCTGAACAAACTCTTGCGTATCATTCACCTTGACATCTGTCAGGTTCACTCCTTTGTGATGGGCGAGTCTGCAGAAGCAACAGCAAATATCATCACCTAAACAGAGAGAGAGAGAGAGAGAGATCAGAGAGCTCACCTGTGCTTCTGACATGATCACTTTCTAATGAGCACTTCCTTCCTCTCTTCTGCATAGAACCATTGTACTCTAGTTTATACATGCTAATTCTAGCCACTGCTCACAAGAGATGAAAGGGTTAAATATAATAGCCATCACCCACTGGGAGGACTAAACCTTTACCCTGCCATGTTTCATGGAATCACAGTCTTAAACAGGAGGGCTACCAACTACAGACACACAAAAGCAGGCTTCCACGCACACAACTTGAGTTCCAGTTTAGTCTCTCTCATTTACCAAGGGCAATGCCCTGTCTGGAACTGTACAGCACACAGGGACATCTAGTGGCTAAACAATAATACTGCAAATGAACATACCCCAGCCCTTACTTTACACTCTAACGCCAAAATCAGGAAATAGGTTTGCTTGCATCACAAAAGTATCTTTTCAGATGCTACCATCCCTTTGCTAGCCTTGCAATGTCGACATTGTATGAGTACAAAAGGATAAAGTAATAATAGGGTGTCCTTCGCTAACACCTTCCAAGTGCGGGTCTCAAAACACGCTCCAAACATGAACAAGTTCATCCTCCCCTGGGAAACAGGTGAATATTATGATCCTTGTTTGAAAGATGGGGGAAATGAGGCACAGAGAATAGAGGTCACAAGGGAGTAGAGGAGATACAATTAGAACCCAGGAGTGTGCTTCTCATTTATGCCAGAAAACCATCCTCCTCATCTCTATGGTGATGTTCAGGGGAAATGCACAGCCACAGAACAGCAGTGGATAGGAGAACAGTGACATTATATCTGGGAGAGACTCTATAGACAGGGATGATATAAGGGCTTAACCCATCTTCTCGGGAAGCCGATGGAAAGATAATTCCACAGTCCATGATTCTGTAAGCTTGGGAAGCTGCTATAAAAGTTTCGTGAAATAAACCCAAGCTACAGTACATCTAGCGTGGGTCAAAAAAATGCTTTGTTTTTTCCCCCCACAGGAAATTTTTTCATTTAAAACAATATATCAGGTGAAAAAATTTAAATTTTGCAGTGAAAATTCCAACCCCCAAATGGTTTGATTTGGGGGGTTTCCTCCCTTTTCCAGTGGCAAAATAGAAAAGGGGTGAGAAATGGGACTGGCACAAGGGGACCCCATCCTCAGCTGAACCTAGGCCCCAGTATAATGCAAATAAATGTCAGTAACTCTACGGTCCCTGGCTCCCAGTCCTGTGCCCTGATCACATTACTTCTGCAAGATCTTCATAAAAATGGGAAATCAAAGACCTGTACCTGAGACTGGCCGACTAGGTCTAAGCTGAGAGGAGCATCACTTACTGGAGATATCCCAGCTGCCTACAGATCAGAGTCCCCAGGGAGAGATTCCACCGCTCGTGACATGCCAGGAGCCAGCCGGGCCTGCCTTCCACCTGCACTTCCAACAAGAAGTTTCCTGTGTTTATTTTGAAAGATACTAAAACCATTTTATTAAAAACGTCTGCAAGCGTCC